AATCTGCTTTGTCAGCTAGTTCTCATCAGCTCTGGTTCTGGTCCAGGCTGATGGGCCTCAGGGATTATGCAAGAGCTGGGATGACTGACTGGCAGAGAGGGATGGAGGACAACTGGGGCTGCAGGCTGCAGCTTGTTGGGGCCTGGCCATTTGTTACAGGCAGTCCCAGGATCTTTGAATCCTTGAGAACTTACCTGGCACTCTCTATGTAGGAAGATGGTGCCCAAACACACTTGCAGGTCATACCACCTAGTTGGCTGCAGCAGGACTGGGGGTGAGGTACGTTGTGGCCCAGTGAGATTGGGCCCAGATAAAAAGCCAAGCAAATGGACAATCTCCTTTAAGATGTATAATTAGAGTCTGGTCCTGCTTTGCTGCTCCACATCCTCCTATCAGCTTTCATTGAGGTTTTGCTGAGTCATTGGGTGAGATCTGGGCTCTTCTGTAAGCTGCACAGGCACATTCTGAGCCCTTTTGTTCTGCTAGGGGTCCCTCTGTGTGCAAACGCTGGGAAGCCAGGCGCCTGCCTCTGTAAACGGGAATGTTTGTGCAGACAGGGAGGACAAGGCCTCCTGTGGTGAGGAGAGGGGGGAGTGCAGCAGAAAGAGCACAGAGCAGGAGAGAGAGCCAGGCTGCATTCCAGCCCTCCCACTTACTGGCTGTGTGAGCATGAGGAAGGTGCTTGAACTGTGTGTGCCTCAGTTTCCCTTGTGATAAATGGTGAGAGTAGAACCCATCTTGTAGGGTAGTTGTGTGGAAGGTCTAAACCTATGTTGTATCCCTAGTAGATATAGAGGACCTCGCACAGTGTAGAGTCTCCTTGTGTAGCAACTCTTACTGAGAGATCACGTTCCTTACTTGAAATTGGAAGAGTTAACTTACCAGAGCTGGGGACCCCAGGATGACTGTCTTATGCCCAAACACCTGCCCCCACAAGGAAGCACTGTACCAGGGTCCCAAATTCATTATGCCTGGAGTGGTGCTGCCTGAGCCCCAGTAGGGCAGCAGACCCTGAGATCTGACCTTTCTTTTTCCCACCCTCAGGGTCTGAAGCAGATCTCTGTCTACATGAAGACCAGCCGCTTCCTCCCAAAGCCTCTGTTTCTAAAGACAGCCTTGTGGGGCAACAAGTAGGGCCTTCTAAGTCCAGGAGCTGAGAGTGGGGAGTCAGAGCTGGGCCAGATGTTTGTGGCCCTGGAGAACAGCTGGTCCTCCGTGCACCTAGAGCCAGCTGTCTTGCTTCTATCTCTTTCTTTGCCCTCCGTTCTCCCTGCCAAATGCCTTATTGGCCCCCTTTTCTCCCTCCCTACCCCCTTTTCATCCAGGCCCTTTAAGTCTTGAGCTCCCCGCTTCTCTTCAGTGAAGTCTGTCCCTGCCCCCTCCCATGTTATTTTTCCTGCACTAAAGCCAACCAGTCCGTCCTTCCCTTCATTGTTCGCTCTACTTGAGGAGCTCGACCAGATCCCTGGCTTGTAGAGCTCAGCCCTGAGCTCCCAGCACTGCCCTCAGGTCCAATGTTGGCCTGATGTGTAGTTCCTGCTCCCCCAGTGTGTTCCCTGCTCCACCCTGCCTGATCTTCAGTAAAGCCTTAATGACACCTGCTGTGTCTTGTCTTTTTCCTTCTGACCATGTGGACTCAGGATTGACCGTGTTGGGGGTGTCCATTTTTCCTTCTGTGGTCCATTGCAGGGGCTGGATGGATGAGGATGTGTGAGTATGTGTGTGGTGGTGGGGGGACAGGTGGGATTATAAGGTTTCTTGCTCATTTCAGTCTCTCCTTCATCTCTGTGCCTCAGCATGAAGTCTCCACAGAAAGGGTCCCCTCTGTGCCTGGGTCTCACCTTAAATTCAGCCTTCATTGAATGCCTCCTGTTAGCGTGCAGTGCTCTGTGTCATGGTTCTTGTGTGGTGGGGAAGGGAGTTAAGCAGTCCACCGATGGTGTGGGCTCTGACTACCTTCTGTCACCCTCTCTTGGAAGTTTTCCCTTCTTTAGGTATCCTTCCTTTGTGCTCTTACAACATATCTTAGTGAAAAATATCCCACTGTATTATCATTATTGTTTTATTTGTTTTCCTCTCCAACTTGATCATAATTTCATTGAGGAGAGTATCTATGTCTTATTCGACTTTTAATCTCTATTATATATCACACTGCCTGGCACACAGCAAATGTTTAATAAAAGTTGGACATTTGAAGGAATTATCTGTAGTTAAGACCCCAGGCAAACTCTACAGCCATGATTGGTATTTAGAGCTCTGGGTATTGCTAATTTCAGCCACTGGAGATACAGAATAAAGTTCAGAAGGTTTTAAATCTATAGATCTGGCAGAATGAGCCATTAACTCTGACTTCAGCATTTAGTAGGCTGTAGCTTCCCTTTTAACTTGACCTGAGATGGGCAGGTTTGGTGTGCTGGGCCAAGGTGCACAAGTTGGCTAGCTTTTACTCATTCTCCCACATCTGTAGATTGGTGTGTGCATTTTATGTTGGGACACTGTCAAAGGAGGAGGACTCATCAGATAACCATCTGATGAGCAGGTTCTTCAAACAGTGGCTGGATAGTGGAGTTGGGTCTTGTGAAGGCACAGCCTTGAGACTTAGCCCGTAACAGGAGAAGATCTGGAGAAGAGTTCTATTGGGCGTCTCTACAGAGGGTCACTGTCTTGCAGTTATTAAATAGAAAGGGAGCAATAGCAATAATGTTAAAGGTCATTAAGAAATGAATAATTAATTTAAAAAGATAAACCTGGTAAGATCAAAGTTCAGCAAAGCTAAAAGTTAATGAAACTGATATGATCAAGATTAATTAAGCCCAAACCTTATTAAACTTTAACTTAAAGACAGAAGGTATAGAAGGAAAAGAAAGGAAAGAAGTAATAGAAATTAGGAGTGACACTATGACAAAAGATAAGTAGAGGGAATAAAAATATTAAATCTTAGTAAAACAGATACAGATCTACACCAGGAGTTTGCAAATGTTTTCTGTAAAGGGCCTGATAGTAAATGTTTTTTGCTTTGGGGGCCATATGGTCTCTCTGTTTCTCACCTCAGTCACTGGAGTGAGAAAGCAGCCCTAGACAATGCGTATATGACTTGTATGCTAACAGAACTTATTTTGCAAAAACAAGGGGCCATAGTTTCCTGACTTTCATTCTGGAAGCGCAAATTAAAAGGGCATAGCTATATTAAAGCTAAAATACTAGATTTGAAATGTAAAAGGTGATTAAGTATCAAGGAAAACAATAAAATAACTGAATCCTTTAATCATGGAAGACAGTCGCGAATGAAAACGGTTTTCTAAACATGCAGTCAAAATGATAAAAGGTAAAAACATGCATTTTAAAGCCTGGGGTAGAAGTAGTAGAGTATGTACTTCAAACTGAGGCAACCGAAACAGATGCTTTTATTGTCCCTCGGATCTAGCAGAGGTCCCAGGACTTGGGATTCTTTGGCACCTCGTGACAGTGCTCATATACTGTTCAGTGTGTATCTTCCCTTTCAAGAATGGGAAAACAAGACACATCTGAGGACACAGGTGCCTCATTGGTGGCTCTTGTATTGATCTGTGATCACCTGTTGTCAATTTCAGGTCCCCTGCCTGGTATTCCTCCATTATCATTGTGTTAGCAGAGAAGGATAAAGCTGAGAGAGACCCCAAGACAGTAGCTTAGAGAAAATGGAAGTTTATTCATTCTTGTTCCATGGGGAATGGTCCCGGCTGTTGAGGCAGCCCTGTTCCATGAAGTTATTGAGGGACTCAGGCTCCTTCCATCCTGTGGCTCTGCCATCCCCTAGGATGCCTCCTCATCTCCTTGGTTGAAGCTCTATCACGAGTGTGGGAAGGAAAATAGAGAAAACCCAAGGAAGGAACTTCCTATTATGCAAGTGAGGCAGAAGTTGCCTACATCACAATCATTCATATTCCATTTGTGAAGTTCAGTTGTGTGGCTGTACCTCGTCACACGGGCAGACCCATATTTGGACAGCAGAATGGATTTTGGCGGCCGACTGCAGTCACTCCCATACTCAGAAAAGTGGGGATAAAGCGTAAACTCAAGTCCAGAAGAAACCTTAGGTTTCAGCCAGTGGTTTAGAGCAGATAGGAGAGGGACTAAGGTAGTGAAGACAAGGTCTTTATCTTCAGAGGGACCCAGGGGGAGTGGTGTATCACCTAGGGTTCCTTGCTGCTGAAAGAGGAAGTGATTTATCAGAGGTATCAGGAAGCACATGAATCCCTGGGAGGGCCAGCATGTTGGTCTTGGAAGCTGGGTGACCAGGAAGTGTGCCTAGCCACCTGTGGGATTGTTCTAGAGAAAGCCCCACAGCCCTTACTGGGCACAGACACTGGAGCTCCTGCCCTGACATGGCACCAGATGTGAGTGTCTCACCACTGCTGCCTCCAGAATCCTGATCCCTCCTCAACTACCCTTGCCAGAAAACAAATTCTCAGGGCCTGCTTCTTCGGAACTGAAGTCCTGCACCACGGTGTGCAATTAACAGAGCCTGGGTCACAGGCCTGGGCCTCAGCCACAGGGGAGGCTGGCAGAGCAAGTGCATGAATTAGGACTAAGTTCTGCTGTATACAGCTGAACAGTAACAGTGGCTTAAATAAGACAGAAGTTCATTTCTAATGTAAAAGAAGATCTGGAAGGAGACAGTTAAGCACTGGCAATGCTGGCTTCATAGTAGCCTTAATGATTTAGCTTCTTAACTTCATGCTCCATCATACTCTGCATGTGGTTTCCATTCTCTGTGTCACCTTATAGTCTGAAATGGTCACTAGAGCCCCATCGTGCCTGAGTTCCAAACAGCAGGGGGGAGAAAGAGGATGGGGTTGCTCTTTCCCACTTATGGAAACTTCTTGGAAGTAACATATAACTTTCTATTTATAACTCATTGGCTAGAAATTAAACATACTGGAAATGACATCTTTTGCCTGAGAAGCAAGAAATGATGGCAGAAATGACAAAAGAAGATGGGAGATGGATATCAGGGGTCAACTAGTAGTCCTCTACCTTGGGGAGGTGGGACTTCAAACGTGAGAAATTCCCCACCTATATGCAGGATGTTTCAAAGATGCAAAGGATAGATGCCTGACATAAACGTATTCTTTTCCATATGTGCATTTCCAAACAATCATTACTACAGCCACCACCATAAAATGTTCCTGCCTAACGTAATGCAACCATTCCCTGTACAAACAAAACACGCCCACCCGCCTTTTGCCCAAAACAACAACCACTTAAAGTGTCATCGACTAAGTCTACCCAGTTCCAAGTCTGGGCTCTCTGGGTAACATTCAGATGGATATGTTGAAAATGACAATCTAAAGTGTACTGTCATTGACTCCCAATTCACCCTATGTAAAATGGTAAGGGAATGGGAGGTGGACAAAGGGAATATAGGTGAGCCCTATACTGCAGTTGGACACGGCCTGCACTCAGATTTGCGGAGAAGCTGTTTTGCATTTGTTTTTGAGGCTTATAGGATGCCCTCGTTTGGTGAGAGGATTCCTAAGAGATGTTGCCTAATAAGGCTTTCATAGTAAACACTGATATCAGCAACCTAAAGTCACTCCCTGGATTGGCTCTTGTCTCCATCGCTCTGGTGACCCCACTTTCAGAGTCACCGTCATCCCACTTTCTTAGCCTACATTTTCCTAACTTGTGTGGCATGATGAGGACACTTTTATTGATGACAGACACACAGAGACCAGCCTGCCATTACATGGTAACTCAACACTTGGAAGCAGAGAATAAGAGGTGCCCATCCTGATGGTTTCCAGAAAACTCTTCCTGTAAATGCTAATTGTCATATTCCTATTTAAACAGATCTGGCTTTTCCCAACAGACTCCTCTTTGTGGGGTAGCCCCAACAATCCCCTATAAGGCATAGCATTGTCCAAAAGGCCTAACATTTGCCCTGCAGTTCCTACTTTCTTCCAGTTCTCTTCCCATCTGAAACATAATTTTGGAAGGAACCAGACAGGGTTTCAGTCAGAGTTCAAAAAAATAGCTGTTAATACATTTGGAAACATTACACTATAGAAGATAAAATAGACACCTATTATAATTTTCCTTCAAACTGTAACACAACATAAACAGTATCCTGTTTGTTCTATTCCCATATCTCTACACCATTGAAAACACTCCCTTCTA